TTCTCGATCGCGCAGAGAGATAAAGTTGCATTTTAAATCGAACATACAGTGTGCCCTTAACTCGGTGGCATTCGAATGCGTAGCTTATTTATTATTTAAGCTTGTGATTAAACATTGTAAAGTAAAGAATGTTGCATACACTGTTGACTTTTGTAGAGTTTATAAGTATTGAAGTGAATATTGTGTAACTCGATAATGTTTTTTCTACTAGGTGATGCCCGCAATAGTTCTGTTTTGTAAAAAGTAGATTGCGAACTCAGGTAAACTTGTGTATCACGTATACAATCATGTATAATTGTAAAAAATTTTATATATTTACGTATAATTGTCTGTAACTATTAATGTAGCATCTGATTTATTTTTAATTACAATCGTAGATTGTAAAGTACTATGAAGTATTGTTATGGTCTAAAGAAAATAACGTAAAAATCATTTTTCTTTTTATTTGTAATAGCTAGACAAATTTAAGACTTTCTGATCTCTGTAGTTAATAAATGTTTATATATTATAGCTAATCGCATAACTTTCTATGTTTCTTAATAAAATATTATTCAATAATAGATAATGTTATTGAAACAATAATTAAAACCTTAGCCTTCAAGATTAATTTTAATTTATATGATAAATTCTTCGCTCACAAAATACGAATGAGATATTTGAACTGAGATAAAACGAAGAAGGAAGAAAAAAGAGAGAGAAAAAAATTAGTTAAGTAACGAGTGTGCCAATGGATTTTTATAATCGTCATAAAATTCCATGCATTTTTCGTATGCATAAGAATAAAATTCATAATTTCACATGCTTGACAATAGAATCCAAATAGTGCTCATTTATAATGCGAAATAATTTTATTAAATAGACGTGAGAAATAGTTAGACTATCCGGTTGAATAATAAATAAGTTTGTTTTATATAATGGGCTTAAGTTAGAAGGCATTAGAAAATTAATGTCCATTGTCGAGAGATATTATCGCGATTCTCGTTATATAATTTTGAATACACATCATTTGGCGCTTAGTTGTTGAATTAATTTTTGGCAAAGTTGAAAATTAAATTTGCATATTGTATGTTTATTTATCTTATAAATGAATGTGTGACGATGCATCTTTTTTTTTTTTTTTTTTTTTTTTTTTTCCCCCATAAATATGATTTCGCTCGAGTTACATAAATTATAAATTGTAAGATATTGCTCTTAAAGTCATAAGTTCTGTATATAATATTTAAGGTAAGCACAATGTTCACTTTAACATTATAACACTCTTGGGAAGATATTCGTGAAAAGTGCGTAAAACGTCACGTTCACATAATATTGTAAATTAAAAGATTTTATTTCTCCTAAAGTTATTTTAATTGTACGTATTTTAGGACAAAAGTTTGAAAATGAATAGCTAACGCGTGCGTGCCGCCTTGTTAAGCTTTTAAGTGCAACAGTCTTGTTCACTGCCACTAGACGAATAATTTTCTAGTAAATGATTTATCATTATCTTTTTTGTATATTTATAGCTTTTAATCTGCTTTGAAAACAGCTAGACGAGAATTCCCGTTACTTTTGTAAATACATTGTAAAAGGCGTCGATCACCAATCTGTATACATATATTGCATGCTACGTTTATTTTTATTTTTTAACTTTGCTTTTGAATTTCTCCCCCCCCCCTCCCCCCTCTTTTTCTTTTGTACAACACGACAGACGGGTATACATAAAGAATGTATATCAAAACAGAATTTGAATATAAGTTGTACGAATCGTGCATACATGCATTCGAATTATGTTGAGAAAACTTGAAAATTACCTGAGTTTTCTTTGTTTTGTATTTATTTTTTTTATTTTGTCATACAAAGTTGTATGTGAAAACCATTGATAAACTGTAGCGTTTCAGCAATATCAAAAGTTATAGTACAAGACCGAGATAAAACCGCTTAATTTATAATTAAACTGGTTTCATTTTTCATGTACATTTTGTATTGTGCCGTACCTATGGTATAATTATATCTAATTGATAATGATTTGCGTAAAACGACACTGTCATTATTTTTTATGAATTATTAGGGTACTACAATAAATGAATTCAGTATCATACACACTTTTGCATTGACTTTATTAAATATTTCCATTAACTATATTAAAAAATAATTATAATTTAAGTAAATATATAAATATAATGATGTACAGAATTATCGCATAATCTATATGGAAATATAATTAAATCTATTTCAGTTTTAAATATGTTCTAAATATGTCTTATTGCATAAGTAATTAATCTTTAAACCAATATTATTTCCGTAAAATTACAACATTTGCATATTTTAATATAACGGAAAATTTTGCTAGAAATTTAAAAAGAAAAAATGCTATTGAAATGAAATTATACTTATTAATATTATGAAAATATAACTTCTTTTTTAGGTTGTATTTTATTCAAAAATACATTTCTCTCAAATAATATTTTGCGAAGAAGAATTAAATTACACAAATTATCCGTCGTGGTAAATGAGAAAGGAGTGCGAAACTCATTTACAGCCATCAAAATTATAATTAGAACAAAAAGTGTAAAAATCATTAGAATATCAAACACTTTCTAGAAATTATGATAATAATAAAAAAAAAAAAAAAAAAAAAAAAAAAAAAAAAAAAAAAAAAAAAAATAAAAAATATTTATCTTAAATCTCTAGTTTTATCTATCGTTAATCTCTAGGATTTTGCACAAAATACCAATGAAACCTTAAATCAGACATAATTTTTTTTTTTTTTTTTTTACAAAAATATGTTTTTTATTACATATATTGACATTAATATGTACATAGTTTCTTCCTCGTCACATTTATAGCACACAGTCATTTAAATATTTTATTTTTTTAAACATAAAGTGCAAAATAACGTTTGTTCGATATGAAAATATTATGCTTACTCATTTGATGTTGCCAATTTATGAAGTAGAGTGAGTTAATAATCATAAAAACGAAATATTACTTAAGATTGGATTCGATAGCAAGTGTCTCGATGAGAATATCACACACATCACAATATTTTAATACTCTTTATATATCGATCCATTACGATTCACATAAATTTATTATAGATAAATGATAGAATTCGGATGAATTTAGAGATATAGTGGAGGCCAATGATTTGACATTTTCAAAACAAACCTGATTTTTATTTATTAAATTCATATCTGTTAGAAGAAAAATATAGGTATAAACAAGCTACGAAATAAACTTGTATCCTTGAGAATTATAGTGAACATATATTATAGCAATAATCTATTCCGATGTATATGTAATTGATAATTAATTCCAGTTAATTTACTGTTCCTATTATGTTGCTGATGCTGTGCAGAAACTTTTTATTTGTAAGAAAATATTCCATTTTTAATATCAATTAAACTGCTAATTAGGAAAGCGTGTATTCCAAAGGATAGAATACCGTATCCTTATTATGCTTTATTATACAGAATGCAAAGTGTTCTTTAAATCAATTGTTTCCAATATTGGAAATAATGGATTGAAAGGACTATAAACTCAGTTTGATATCTTTAATATTTTAATAGATGCTGGATATCATCCATTATTATTTAACATTAATTAATTAGTGCCGATGAATAAAAAATGAATGTGAACGAATTAAATTAAATTACATAAAGGCTAATTTACATTATACAATACATTATTTTACACAAATTTTATTGTAAAAATTATACTTACGCATAAATCAAAGATTAAATGTGAAATTATCATTTCTAACTAATAGATTAATAATTTTTAAATTTCAGGAATTTATCGTCGATGTATAAAATTATTATATTTGTATATAAGATTGAGATTTATAATCTTTACCATCATTAAGATTCGGGAATTTCTTTCATTAACAATAATTTAGTAATACAATTAATTAAAAAATAATTTAAAATATAATTTACGCTCAATTTGTTTTCTATTAGTATACTAAGTTGTCTCGATACTTATAAAATTCAAATCTTAGAATTCACAAAAGTTTGTCACCCATGTGCTCATTCCGCTCAATATATATTCTTCTTTAACTACGAAGAATACATATAATGGCAACGAAACTTAACAATATAAAAGAAAATCTGGAATATGTACTCAGAATTAAAATAGTCTAACAAGTAAATCATTAGGCGTCGACGTAAATTGAGAAACAAGAGGAACAAAAGCAGTACGTACTATCTCTTGTTAATAACATAATTATAATTTGTTTAAAAAAAAAAAAAAAAAAAAAATCGTTTCTCTTCTTATCTTGTTTATTATAAATCGAGACAACTTTCCCCCTTCCCCCCCCCCCCCCACACACACACCACCGCCACCACCAATTACCTGCAGCCCTTAACGTGATTGTACATATCGCAAAAGTCTAAACTTCCACCAAAATTTCGATGCTTTTCGTTACTGTCAAGCGTCCTTGGTAGCCCCACCCGAATCTCCATCATCACCAGACCATCTAATAATTATTTAAATTCTTTAAAAACAATTTAAATCCGATTTGACACATACAAACAATGACATATGCGATAATGAGTATAAAAAATTTTTTTTTACGCCAACTGCTTAAATGAGGCTGCTTTTGAAACTTCTTGATATTCGCTTTCGACGAAAAATTCTTTTTAAATAATTTACGCGCAAGTGCGCAGGCGTAATGTATGGTGTAAAATGTGCTCATTCTAATGTAGCCTAATTATTTTTATAATTTCTTCAATTTATAACGACAAATTATGTTTTTAACAATCCACTACGCTCTTACATTTTCATTATGATAGACTTGTGTTTGCATGCCAGCTATGTGGAAATTGATTTTTTAGCATTTTCATTTTTAAGAAGATAAACATCGCAGGCTCAAATACTTTCGTAAATATTACTGAAAACATGATTTTTATTATTTTACTCTTTTAATTTATCGACTTAAATTAGGATCACTTTTCTCTCAGTACAGGTAAGCATGTATATTTAGTAAGCTGAGCAATATTCAATCAATTTAGTAACCAATTTCATTATCATAAAAAACGAACACGTGCAGAATACCTGAGAAATATAGAGTTTATTATTCATGAAGAATCGAGAGCAATGACGGATTTTAAGAGTTTGAAACTCAATTCTTGGATTGTCGAACAATGCAAAATCATTGGTGAGTTGATAATATTTTAATGATATTTACATTAATATTTTAATTAATATTTTATTTAATTAATAATAGGTATAAAGAAACCAACGCCTATTCAACAAAATTGCATCCCAGTGATATTGAATGGTCAAGACTGCATTGGATGTGCAAAGACTGGTAGCGGTAAAACATTGACTTTTGTTTTACCAATTTTACAAAAGCTTTGCGAAGATCCATATGGAATTTTTGCTCTCGTGCTAACACCAACCAGGGAACTTGCTTTTCAAGTAAAATTGTAGATCTACTTACTTATCAGCCCATGATTTACAAAGAAATTATATAGCTTTAAATAAATTTAAAAAATAGTTGTATTATTCAATACGATGCTGTAAAATTGAAAGGTTAAGATATCGTTTTATTATTAATAGCAATGAATTTGTTTCCATTAGATTTCCGATCAATTTGCGGCAATTGGTAAATCAATCAATCTTAAGAAATGTACGATCGTCGGAGGTATGGATATGGTAGTTCAGGGACTAGAATTAGCCAAGAATCCTCACATTGTTGTATCGACTCCAGGACGTTTAGCGGATCATTTAGAAAGCTGCGATACATTTTCATTGAAGAAAATTAAGTTTCTCGTTCTTGATGAAGCTGATAGATTGTTAGAAGGTCGTTTTGATAATCAATTAAGTGTCATATTTCAAGCTTTGCCTAAAGAAAGGCAGTCTTTGCTTTTTAGTGCTACTATAACCGATGCATTAAGTAAAGTTCAACAAGTATCCAAAAGAGAAATGTTTCTATGGGAGTCCCAGGATAATCTTGGTATCGCGACAGTAAAGGAACTGGATCAACGTTACGTGCTTTGCCCTGAAAATGTTCGCGATGCATATCTAGTTGAAGTCATTAGAACATTTAGAGACGATAACAAAATTGGATCGATCATGATATTCACCGATACTTGCAAGTATGCAATATTTTAATTTTACCTAATACTTCTTATAAAACATAAGTTTTGTTTTAAATCGATATATGCTTACTATATTATCAAATATTTGTAGAAATTGTCAGCTACTGTCCGTCACATTAAACGAAGTAGGTTTTGAAAATGTAGCATTACACGCTATGATAAAGCAAAAAGAACGCTTAAGCTCCTTGAGTAAATTTAAATCCAGTCACATTAAAATTTTAATTGCCACTGATGTGGCTGCGAGAGGCTTGGACATTCCCGTTGTTACCCTGGTCATAAATCATAATATACCAAATGTACCGAAAGAGTACATTCATAGAGTTGGCAGAACCGCTCGTGCTGGTAGAGGTGGTTTGGCAGTCACTTTGATAACACCACACGATATCAAATTATTGCATGCTATCGAAGAATTAATCGGCACGCAACTTACCGAATATAAAATTGATGGTAAGAGAATAGTATATTTTATACATCACACTTGTATTAAATTATATTTATTATTAACAATTAAAAATTAATTTGTAAGAAAAATGTAATTTGTTAAAGAAATTTGTCAATTAGATAAATTTATTGCTAATCGCGCAATAGCAATAGCAAAATACTACAAAATCTAAGTAAATATATTTAAATAATATTTAACAACATTATATCGCATTCGTGTAATTTCTTATATGAATTTTATTGGTTTTTATAGACAATGAAGTCGTCACCATCTTTCCACAGATATCGGTTACAAAACGTGAAGCCGAAATAAAACTAAATGAGACGGATTTTGATGAGAAAAAAATGATAAATAAGAGGAAAAAATTAATTTTACAAGGAATAGATCCAGAGGAAGCAGACGAAATTTTAAAAAATAGTAAAAAACGCAAAAAAAAGAAAAAGAAGGTAGAAACCGATAAGAAGCTTAGCGAAGATAGTTCATAAAATTTATTTTCTCTTTTTAACAAATGATCAATAATATCTTCATTATCGAGCAATTTGAATACAAATATTTTGGCTACTTTCCATTGATTTGCCATTAATCTCAATACAAACTTGCTTTTACTATTTTTCTACCTGTTCAATGATTAAAATTTAGAATTTATTACTAATATGAACTCGATGGTTGAATAAGGTTTTGCTTACTTTTACTAATGCATTAAAAAGTATCTAGAGAAAATCCGATGTCACCAATGGGTATTATTAATTCACGTAACGGACTTTAAATATATTAGGATTACATAATATCAATGACATAGCCCATTCAAATTTACAGACGCTTTATTTTTAAGAATATCGATTCTGTAATAGTTAATGTGTGACATTCATACGTCGTCTCGTTACATTTACCATAACTGTTATTATTATTAATTATTAATTGACTTATCACCAGAAATACCTAATACGATTACATACACGATAACGTACAAAATATTTACCTATGTTAGATTGACTCGAGGTGTATTAAAATTTTTACAATAATTTGCAATCGAATGGTTTTGTTAATTCGTTGCATTGAACATTGAAAGGAAATGAATTGAAGCAGATTGACATAAAGCTCTATTTCCTCTTACATTATTTGATAAATAAGAGCTCGGATCAGTTATATTCTAACTTAATAAATGAAATTATTTGTTTGTTTAATACAAGTAAAGGAAAATTAAAAGAAATACGTTATAAGAACAGTGTAAGGATTATTAAGTTGTAATAATGATTCCACGATATATTTAATTTTTAACGTTGATATATAAATATATATATATATAAGAAAAAAAAAATTCATATAAATAAAGAAAATGTTAGGAATTAATTGTAAAACTCTTGTTTGATACATATTATGGATAATATTCATATTTGTTGGTATAAGACAAAATTGTCATCGTTTATAATTTAATATTAACAAATTTATACATAAATATACACAAAGCATTTTGTAAGTTGTACAGTGACTTTACATAAATAAATACAAATATCCCATTATTTTTTACTACGTTTTTGCAACTTTAATATAGAAATTATTGCCAGATATGTAAAAATATCATTATAGATCTTAAAGCTTATTTCATGCTTTATTTTGTTCTATTAAAACAAATTCAAATTTCAATAAAATAAATGATTTTCTTTTTTTTATCAGCTATTTATCACAATTATTTCAGAGTAGATTAAATAAAGCATTTGTAAAATAATACTAAAATATTATAAATTAATATCGTCTAGATTTTCATAATTATTACAAAAGTATCTCGAAAATAAGATCTATAAATCATCGATATTTTACCGAATATCATAAAAGCCGCCAATAACGCACATAGAAATTTAACTTAATCATCGATGTGTAAGTAGAATTAAGAAGACTTTAAATGTATTAAAATATAAATTAATTTAATGCTTAAAAATTATATAAGTAATAATGGAGATAATAAGGAAATAATATTCATTATTATTAATTGATATACTAAAAAGAATGTAATTAAGTCAAACTAGTCGAAATTAACTCCCAAATATAATATACTTTTAACGAATATTATTATAAATAAGAAAGTTGTTAAGAAATGAAAAGAACTAAATTCTAATATAATACATGAAATAGAATTTTGTAGAATTAATTTAAACATTTAAAGATATATATGAGATATCACTGCCTAAATGTTAAATGTACACTGTATAAAACTAAGAAGCAAAGTTAATAATTCAAATCAGTAAATTATTGAAACTCTTCTTATGAAAGTTAAATAATTTTGATGGATAATTTATGTTAATAAATTGCAAAAACAAATTATATTCAAAATACAATTGAATGTGAGTGTTTGAAAAATCAATAGGATTCAGTTTTAAAATAAAATTTCTTAAAACAATAAAGAAAGATGAAACAAATGAATAAATATATATCATAAGTAAACAAATCAAAAACCAAATTGTATTTCAAGATAAATTTTATGCATGCGAATAAAAGACAGAAACTTATTGTTATATGCTTTTCACCATAAATTATTAAAAGTATACTCATGATTATGAAACATTATTTTTGTAATTTTTTTTAAATAAAATATCCCCGTCAATTATGTTAAGCTGCTGTTATATAAATTCTTTATGTTTATTCCTTCCCCATTATCAAAATACTTTCGCCGAAAGATTTTCCTTGTTTTTTACTAGAGTATCCAACGACATTTTCCCATTTCTCTTTATTTCCTTGTAGAACATTTCATTAAAATAATGAGATACCCTTGGCATTCCCATGCGTCGTTTGAAAATTGTTAACGGGCAAATGTTACGTTTTTTACCTTTGACGTTTGCTGTACGTGACTTAATTACTTAAGACTGAAATTAGAATTTTGTATAGACTTGGCTTAGTCTATTTATTATCTGGTTAGGCTATTTGTAAAAATTAGATTAAATCAGTCAAATGTCTCCTACGTGTGCATCGTACGAACTAGTTAATTAATAAAATCTTGTTTGAATACGTTTAACCGATAAAACTACGCAGGAGAAAGGTAAATTAAAGTTAAATTAAATGTATAAACATTGAATTTTATTAAATGTTTGGAGTATAAAAAATTATTATACAGTGATTAAATGGTATATAAAAAAAAAGTAAACTAAAGTGTTATATCGAATGCTTAATTGAATAAAAATATAATTATTAATTACTCGGTTTTATAAAAATTAAACGGTTTATTTTGCATAAATAATAATATTAAATCAAACGCTTTTCTATTAAAGCTTAATGAATTAATTCTTATTATTAATTTTAATTTGTTCAACATCTCATCACGCGTTTATGGAAATATTTAATTATTAGATGGTGAAAAAATTTTTAAAATGTGCAAAATTCAATCTAGATACGTACATTGCGGCGAATCTAATATTTACTTACACTTTCAGTTTCTGTGAACAATTTGTTGCAATTAATATTTACAATCTCGATTGCAAATCCATATGTTGTTTATATTTTTGATAAATAAAAAAATACTTATCAATTTGCATAAATAGTTGATATAAAATAATATTGTGCAACATTTTGTGGGAGGTGGTACGTGGTGGGGTGGGGTGGGGGGAAAGGTGAAAAATTAAAAGTAATAGAAATTAGTATTTAACAATATTTATTTTTAATTCTCTGTAAATAATCTTAATTATACAAAAACAGTATAAAAGTCCATTCTTGACATATGCTATATATATGTATAGATCCTAATAACACAGATAATAGCTCTAGAAGAATTTAAAACAATTATTTAATTTATGTTTAAAAAGCTTTGTTTTATTTAACAATAAATAGTTATATAATACTAAATCTCTCAAATAAAGTAAGAAAAAATTCTGTTAATTTTCATTCTATGAATAATGTAATTATTTAACAATTATATCGTTGAAAATTAATTTCTTTTTTTTTAATATAAATTATGAGAAATTCTTATTTCAATTAATAAATATTAATCTATCTCTAATGTACACCGTATAAAATATTTATTTTGCAAAATAAACCATTGCCATTGCTATTATTATCTTCACTATTCTGTTTAATTAATTTTCATTTTGTACATTTGTTCAACAAACACGCACGCACTTAAATGCGGATATTAAATATTTTTTAAGGTACATTTTACGATGAATAAAATGTTGATGAATTTAGTATTATAAAAAGCAATTAAAATTTTACGGCGACTTATACTTAAATACAAATGAATGGATAAAATATTTAAGATTACCATAAAATTTGCAATAAAATGTACAGTTGTTTAAGGAGAAAACAATGAATATGTTTTGGTTAACATTTTCTAGAATGATCGACTCGATATTTTAAAAATTTGTATTAAAGTCGCGCTCTTATCTTCTCTTCGTTTCGTATTAGTTGTAATTTATCTAAGAAAGAGTATAGTTCAGCTACATATTCCTTTGGATTGGTTCGATAATGGCCAACGTGAGGAGTATTGTCAAATATCTTCACATAAGTCTAGGAAAACAATTATTCCATTAGATATTGAAAAAATATAACACTAAAATTAAGGACATTTATTAAAGAAACACAAATTTCAGCAGCTCATGGAAAATAATAGAAACCATCCAGAAATTTTATTCCTATTTCAAATATATTATATCCTGAACATCGCACTAACAACTCAATAGCTAAATAATACCGTATTCAAATAATCTTGGTACTTTAATCAAAATACTTACTTTTATGCCTAAGGATTCCCAAGACTCTTTAACCCTCATGTTACTTGTCAGTGAGCCTACTGGATCGGTATTACTCACTAAAAATAGTGCTGGTGTTCGAATTAAATTTAAATGGAACAACTGACTCGATCGAATCCAATATTGTGTTGCCTGTTTGTGAAAAGCTTTCATATGATATCTAGAAAAAAATAGCATAAATTGTACAATTTAGATTATTTTTTATAATAATTGGTGAGCCTATATACAATTAACATATTATATCAAACCGCAGATGATAAGTGGGTAGTCAAGGAATAAATTATCAAAAGATTCTTTCTACAAAGTATTCTTAATATTCTAATAAATTACTTTAAAAAAGAATGTTTTGTTTAAGTCGATGGTTAAAATTAATATTAATGTTTCTAGATATGTGTATACGTACAATTTAATTAAAAATCATTAATTGTACTAATTATTTAGCTTTAAAACTTACTCTAAATATTTTTGCATAACATTTTGGAGTACAATATTATTAGGAAAAACTGCTTTTGGTGTTCCAATTGTTAATTCGCTTATGTCAGCAGCACTGTCCCAGACATGACCAACAATCCGATTAATTACACGATCGTATCTTTTACGATCTTTATGAATAAAATCTAAAACTTCTCCCCACATGTAGCCACCGATAGAAAATCCATGCAACAGAATCTGTTCGTAGCATATATTTTGATCTAAAAATTGCAACAAATCATAGGCTATAATCTGTAACAAAATAATTGCAATGTTAAAAAATAATGTTTCTTCATTTGTGCCAAAAACAAATTCAATAAGATTTAAAATAATAAAAACTAATATTTACAAGAATGTTCTTTTATTTTTGTACATTGAGCATTACATGACTTTTTATTATTCCCATGACTCTTATCAATTTACAATATATCATCAGTCTTAGCAATTTATTACTTATTACAGTTTTATCAATTTATATACTTTCAAAGTCTTTAATATCAATATTTCTTATTAAATAGTAAATAGTATTCAATTTTATGAAAGTTTATGAAGCTCAATTTAATAATAATTAATAAAGAAAAATAGTCTCTATATAAACTGTATTCTATACTTGGATTTTTCCATCCTTTTGATATTTAATTTTATTTATATATATATATATATATATATATATATATATTGTTTCAAATGATATTTTAAAACAATTATTGCATATAAAAATTTGTACTCGATGAAAGAAGAAAAGTTAAAAATTGCTACTTGAATACATAAATATACTTTCTTTAACTTTTAAAACTTGATTTATTCAAAATTTATTCTAAATAGATACGAATAAAAAGATGCTCTTACCCGTGATCCCTTAATAGGCCACATTAATTGCCAAGGAGTAATAGATACTGTAACGACATCAAAGCCTTGCTCCATGTAAAAATTTACAAACTTTTTAATATGATTAGGCTTTGATAAAAGCCAACAAAGTAACACTAACAATGGACGGTTGGCATCAATGATTGAATTGGGATTTATAATTTTTTTAGATTCTTTAATAATAGACAAATTATTGTCATCCGTTACTAAATCAATGTTTTTGCTAAGTTGATGAGTACTCATGAAGTTACAACCGACAAACCCAAGCATCTGAAATGCAAATAATAATAGAATTAGAATAACAATTGTGCATTAAATCACCCTTGTTTACAATTAACAAACAATTAGTAAAGAATAAATTATATTTACCATATTGTTTCTTGGTCTTGGTGCTGAAAATTTGGTAAGAACATGATTACCAAAACGATTTCTTGTTAAAGTTGAAAGAGTTACTCTCATGAATGCCATGACTATTCTCATCTTTTATACTAAAATAAAATAAATTAATGTCCTTTAAATTCATGCCTTCAATACCTTATGGATATTATATTAAATTAGAAATTAAATATAAATTAGAAACCATAGAATAGAATATATAGAAAAATAATCGCATAAATAAAAAAATGCTCCAACAGTGGCACACACTCACCTTCCAATCTAAACGCTATCGTACTCGAATGTAATTTTCCCGCCAATAAAATATTTAAAATAAGAAGCTTTAGCATTAAATAAGCAATGAAAAGGCGATCGATTCACAAAGTCAAGAGTTAATTGCACGTTTGGATCAGAAATATTGTCACGGCCTAGCGTCATAAGCAAGAATCTTTAATCTTAGGCCCACAGAACTGTCAAAAAGAAGGGCTCGTTTTTACATACGCACATGCACGCACACGCGCGCCCACGCATTCACATAAAAATTGCACGTGTATTTACATGCTTCTTTCGCGTGCTCGAAGCAAGGACTGCCAACGTAATACTTTTGTAAAAATCCAGCTGGTATAGTATGATATATAATAGACGGAGACACAGTTATCAGCATACAACAACGACTAACTCTATACATTCTTAGTACTCGCATTCTTCCCTAAATCCCTCTTAACTAATCAACTAGCTTTAACGTTACATGAATCTGTCTCTCTTGCACGGCTTCCCCTTCTACGGCATCTTTAAACGCTCGCCACATTGACAACCCCAACGCGTAAAAGTTCATTCGCGAGCATCGGGGATGCCATTACAAAAGTCCTCCTCTCTTTTCTATAATTTACTCGTAGCCTCGCTCGCTCGCACGCTACCAAATTAACCACGATGGCGTGCTTTCAATTTCAATTGGCACTACTTGGACGATTGTTTCATAGTGAGAGAGAGAGAGTGAGAGAGAGAGAGAGAGTGACACGTAAAGCGACGATTACTGCGTGTTATCGCGTTATTAGCCCTTGGTTGCTTGCATGCAATCGCATTCCACGAAACCTTCCATGCGAAAATGCCGTAATGCCAAGGCGACGCTACAAGATCATCGATCGGATTTAACGTCCCTTCTGCCGATATGCAAATGACAAATGGGCAGACAAACGTCGCCTTGAAACTCGGCCTTTCTAATCAAGCCCAAATTCGTTTCTCCTCTGCCTTGTTGGCGAGATTGGTTTTATGCCCAGCCGTTTGCGCCTACGCAGCACACACAGGTTGGATTCGAATAATTGGCGAATGAAATGAAAAAACGACAGACCAATGACAGGGTTCGGTAGGACATCCACGAGAGCAAAAGCTTATATTAACACCTGTCGCCGTCAACAAACACAAGCATCCAACGCTCCTTATCAATCCTTATTATAATAATTTATTGATAACGAGACTAAGCGTCCATACTTTTCAAACGACTTTTATGAAATTTCATCATAGCAATAATAAATAATGACGGAAGAAAAAAAAACAATCAAAACCACGATATCCGTGAGAGAATATTTTGAAGTTTTCTTAAGTTAAATTATTTTAATAAAATTATATGGAAAGTGAAGGATAATTTTAAAAGATGAAACAAAGCCAAGACGAAGTATATATATTTTTATAACGCAGCTGTTCTTCGACAGGCAGATTTTCATTTTTCGATCTTGGCAGAAATGAGACAAAAACGTTGGAATTTCTAAAAAAAATTAGTCCATTAAACTTGGATAATCATTATTGTCTGGCTATCGCTATTTTTATAAATAAACGAACTCGATCGTTTGCCATACCACTAATATATATCCAAGTTTACTTAAACCACAAATGTTCGATGCTAAGATTATTTAGTAAATCTATGAAAAATATATTAATTTACATACCAAATATGATTGTTAAAGTATATTTACGATATATATATATATATATATATATATACGAATGAAAATATGGTAAATACCGAATGCTGCTGATAAAATTGTATGACTCATTATCGTAGTAAATTCACTACAATTTTTCATTTATTGTTTTCGAAAACATAAATTTAAACTATTTTCTTTATTTCAAATCGTAAAAATATTATTATTCGATATTCTAATTTTCCTTAGATTTTGCGAGTATATAATACGGCTCATCGCAAAAACATAAACTACAATAATCATCAATTAATTAAATTAAGATAATTGAATGGAAACAGTTGTTATTCGCATCGAGCGTTAGTTTACAAATCTAAGGTAAAAGGTAAAGTGATATTTAAATTTTTTATTTCAAATTTTTTCCTATACTTTTGAAATTGTAAACAATAAAAACTATATACCATTATAACTTATATAACTAAATAAAATACCATTATAATAAATTGTAATTCCTAATTCTGCGCGCGCGTGTCTGTGTATATATGCTTGTACGATTACGCACACCCACACACTCATACACATGCTAATTTAATAATTAGCATTGCAATTAATTGTTTATAAATAAAGAGAATATTAATGTTATGTGCAAATTATTAAATCTATAGACACCAATTTAAAAATTCATATTACATCCTAGAAATGAATCTATTATATTCCGATTTTTCATCCTGTTCATATGTATATTATACATGTGCATGGCAAAAAGAGTAAAACAAATGTAACAGATATATACAAAAACATATTTTCCACATTTATTTAAATTTATAATTTTAACTATTAGCCAATTAGTTATTGATAAATTCATACAGTAGTATTGTTTTAAATAATATTCGAAATAAAGAATATAATTATAAATACAAATATATTTATCAGATCTAATTTCATTAAAAACATAAAGTTTATTATGAATATTTATTACTAAACAAATAATATTACTTATAATAATAAATGTGTGACAAAATTATTTTTTTATATGTTCGTATCGACTAATAATTTGGTATTTGAAGTAAAGAGAATTCAATCTATATGTAATAAAAATTTTAATATATAACTAAAAATAGTATTTATTATAAAATAGGATTTTTTTCTTAGAATTTATGAGTAATTATAGAAATTAATATTATAAAAATTATATTAATTATAACTAAAAACTTCTTTTACTGACTGACGGCAAGAATAACATAAAATTTAAATTTATTTATTATTTTGAACATATTGTACTATACAAATATTATAAACTATTAATATAAAATAATTTTTATAAAAAGAAATCTTTATAATATTAATTAAATTCTCAAATTCTCATATTTTGTGAAAAAAATGAATTTTCCATTCCATCATAAAATTAGTTTACATTTGTTAAAAACTATAAATTATAATCATTTTTCGCTGAGCAGATTAGTAAAAATTAACGTATTTGATTTGATCTTTAATAAATTACAAAAATTCTTACAAATATATATTTCTCATACTTTCTTCCAGACTTAAAATCTATTTTGCATCACATTTATTATACATTATAATAATTATTATTTGAACATTGAACTCATAATATACTTAATCGCAATATACTTTTTATCAATATAGCCTTTCATTTTAATGATATTAACATACCGAATAATATTACTGTAAACTATTTGATAGAATGTCAAATCTTCAACATAAATATATATTATAATAGGAGAAAGTGTCGTTATTATTTTACCTCCATATTTAAAAGTAAAGAAACTTTTAAAATAACGACATTTTTTTTTACAAGTCAATTAAATGGTTAAATTTAAGTGGCTACGAGTAAAAGTAAATAAAGTGGTTGAATTTTCATAGTAATTAATTACAAAATATCAAATTATTTATTAGTGAATTTTTGGCAAAAAATCCTCATAAACTCATAAACTTGTAAAGTTTTAGATGAAAAAAAAGTTTTCAATTAGAAGGCAAAACGAATGTCATTATTTACCTTCCAAGCTCCTTACATTAGTAGTTTTAATCTAATATTACAACTGTTAGACTCGTATATATAACAGCCAGTATACGTTAATTATTTTGAATTGAAAAAAAAATGGCTTTTTATTGATAAGCTGATATTTAAATCATACTTTTATCTTTTAATTATTTGTAAGAGAATATGTAATGTATAAAATCTCAAAATGAATTTCAATTCAATTTTGTTAATTTTTCTATTTACTTAGTATATTTTTATATTTATACATTCAATAGCGTATAATTTTTTTTTTTTATTGTTATTTATCACTATATACTTTTAAAATCTCTCTCTCTCTCTTTTTTTTTTTTAATTCGTAGGGAATTTCTCTTTTAAAGAATCGTACGGATAAAATGAAAAGATGTGATTACAATTGTTTTATATGTACTTGTTCATTTTTTTTAAAGTTAGCCTAATTCTTAAATTAATTTTATTATTTAATTTCTTCAGTATGCAATTATTTAAATATTCATTAAACAGATACTTAATAATAAATTCAATTAAACATAGTATTTATGTTATAGTTATTGTTTATAATATTGAATAAGTAAGTAAAATTTGTTCTAAGAATAGAGTGAAAAGGGTTAAGAAAAAAGAAAATTTATCATTATCTTCATGTCATACGAAAAACCTAATATTACGTATTAGATTTACTAATCTTACCTAAAGCAAAACTAATTAGCATAATAAAATTCAAAACTTATTGTAAGTTCATTATGATTTTTTTTCTTCATTTATGTAATGTGCGAAAATGAATTCTTAGAGCACGAATTATAATGGCCGTAACGCATGTAAATATTATTATAATTATACAGATATGAGGTAAAAATGGATATAGTAAAAGATAATTTTACGTTCGATAATTATGAATAAAAATCATTTATAAATATCATAGTTATAAATATCTAGTTATAAATACCATTTATAAGTATCATAGTTTAAAACTGGCTATTAAGATTTTACGAATGTGAGACGATAAAAATTTAGATTCATTAGTCATCGTATCTTTATTAAATTTTAACATATATTTTATAAATATTAAACCATAAAAAAGTTTATACTAATATTCGTCATGTAAATTACGAAATAATTTCACGAAATAATTTTACGAAATAATATCAATGTATATATAGCATATAATATTTATTAAATATTTTTATTAATTTTAAATTAGAGTGCTAATCAGCATTGGTCAAACAATGCTTTTATGTATCAGAATTATGTAATATATACATAAATGTCTGTATTCATTAATACATACATACATACATATATATATATATATATATATATATATATATATTTCAATATCATCATCATATATAATATCAAGTTTAATTATATGCAAATATACGATGCGTTCGAGTATCATTGAAAAAGTTTTAATAGAAAATTCTTAAGTAAACATAAGTATGCAAATATCTTACTCACTAATTAATACGACGGAATGTAATGTTACTCAATAGCTATAAAATGGGAAAATGTAAAAAAAAAAATTATATTCAAATTAATTCTTTGTAGAACTTTCAAACGATTCCATGGCATACGCATAAATAATAATACTGAATACACATTTACATAATTTACATGAGTTTCACGATTATTATTGTCGTTACAACTGCACTTCGTCAAAATATAGTTTTTAAAGTTTCGATAGAACGTCTTACGTAATAAAGCTTCATATAAATTTAACATAATTAATTACATACGATGAAAAATTTGTTAATTCACAAAAAGTTAGTTTTAATAAAGTACAATAATAAACTAAATATTTATATGAACAATATTAAAATTGAAAATTACTAATAATTTTACTACTGTTAATAAAATAAAAAATAAAGAAAAAAAGGTTCAAGATAGGCCATTAGCAAAAGAAAAGTTAAGAAAGTTATGTTTAATATTGGTCGAAATTATTTGAAAAACAAGACCTTTCGAATGGGAAATAAAATTGAGAGTTAAGTAGCACATGATACTTTGGCCTATTTATTATTTGAATAGCCGAGTAACAAATATTTTATTTTTATGTGATTAAGTGAAATCTAATAATTTCAGCAAATGGTGAAAAATATTAATTTATATATGTAAAAATTATCGCTATATTTTTTTTTTTTTTTTTTTTTTTTTTTTTTTTTTTTTTTTTTTTTTTTAAAAAAAATTAGACAGGACAAAATGACTCACTAGACTGCATATCGTAATTCAATTGTTACTCTCTCTTGCTCTTTTCCACATTTTTCACGATTCGTAACAACGAATGCCCGATATAGTGCAATGATCTTGACACTTACTCGATGCTAATGAACAGCAACATCAAGCTACAGAAGCTCAAGGTCAACGGACGATACACGCTATTTTAATTGTTATTATGCGTTTGTACCAGTAAAACAGTGAATAACCGTAGAAATTCTGGACTATACCGTTTCTTTACCTCGATCGATATTTCCTTGCATACTTGCATCGGTAATATGTAAAAAAAAAACAAAAAACAAAACAAAAAAAAAACATGCATTTCTAGATATGTATATTAAAATGTTTATTGAATTTGCTACAATTGAGCATGCTGAATAAAAGTATACATCGAGTAGAAAATATTTCTCATTCCTTTCTTTCTTTATCTTCTGCATATAAACATACACAAAGCTATGTGTATAAATAAATAAATTACGAATATGTAAATAAACTTAATTAAAGGAGCCTGATTATTAATTAAAAAATGAAAAAAGTAACTTTGAATTTTAAGACTTAAAGAGTACATTCTTGCGCGAAAAGAAAATAATATGTAACATTGAATGTACAGAATTTTTCCTACGTTCACCATTTGCATCAGTATTGCTGAGCAAACCATGGTTGCAGCCATAAATAATAATTAATTATAAAAGGATAATATTTTACAAAAATCTTTAAATAATTTCAATAATTAAAAAGAAAATAATATATATATATATATATATATATGCATTTCTAGATGCATGTATTTCCTCAATATAAATTATATTATTAAAAAAAAAAAAAGAGAATATTTTCATTTCAACAATGGATAGTTTAATTCATTGGCTATATCTATTGAATAAAAAACATGTTTTAAACAAATCCAAAATATTTGAAGATTAGATAAGATTTTCTTTATCAAAATATATTAATACGTAATACATACAGTACAGATTATCATTACTTTATTTAATAAATCCAAAGGAAAAAATGTTCTTATATTACAATTATATAATTAATTATAAATATGTAAACACTTGTTAATAATATTGAATATTCGTAACTCAAATAAAAACAAAATTCCAAAAACTATAATAAACTATACTGTATTAATTTTTTATAATAATATAATATAATCATCTCTTAGACATTTTTATCATTATACTTTCACATGATTATTTGTTATTTATAAAAGCATTGTTTTCATTTAGAGTAAAAAATATAAATTATAAAAAAATATATATATATATATATATATGTATATGTATTTCTTTTTTCTAAAAGAAAATGCTAATACTAAGAAAAAATATGTTAATTTGGAAAAGAAATGTGAATACACGTTACTTTGATTATGGAACGGAAATAATTTTTTAAAAATTTTATAAAAATTTTATATAAATTTTTCATTTTTATTCATAAATACTTGTCAAATTCCGTGAAAAATATTAATTAATTAATGTCAATGGCTAGTGGCCTATAATGTATCATTTAAATGATATTATAAATATTTAACAATTAAGACTAATTATGACTATGATGAATTATTTATCGTTTTTTTTTTTTTTTTTTTTTTTTTTTTTTTTGAAGCATTAATAATATATTTAGATATTACTATATTATCGTAATAAAATTAATTGGCTCTCGCTAAAAAGGGCATACAAAGAATGTAAACAATGGAAACAATAAATTAATCAATTATAATTGGATTATTGTAGCTATATTTGAAAAAGTTAAAGATATGTGATTTAAAATTATCTTGCATAATAATGTTATTACAAGCAATTTTCAAAGTTCTCCATACAGTTTTTTTTACAAATAAATAAGATATTTTATTTGACATTTTAATTAATGTGTAATAATGTGCGAATAGACATTGAACTTACTGTATATGCATATAATATCGATTAGCCAACAAAAGCATAAAATAAACATATTGCTCGTTTCGAATGATTGTTCCACGGATTTTACATGATCGCTCAATTAAATGCCGAAATTAATTGCATGAGATAATTAGCAATAAAATCACAACAAGCACAATTATAGCCACAATACATAACTATGATAGTAAAGTTTTGAGAAAAAGTGTGGAATTAACGTCAATTTGATAATAGAAGCTTAGCGCACGATAATATTAAATGCCATTGCAAGAGATTAATCAGAGAAATTCAGGGTCAAAATGAAGAGAGCCGAAAATAATTTAGCCGACTAAACGAAGGCCAGTGCTCTTGATGGTCACGTGAGCAACAACACGTTATTCACTGTTGTTTGTTTCGGCCGACTCCGTCAAGGTTTCATTATTTTCACCTCAGCCTCGGTTCGTTCCCATACTCCTCCTCCACTTTCTCCCCGTCTCCTCAACCCCTCACCAATCGTCCACCCCGATCCCATTGTAATATAAAATAATTTTGTTCTCGCGACAATGGGATGGACATATCACCGAGGTCCTTTAATTCCACTCCATATACTCCGAGCTTTAACTCACAGGCGGAGAATTTCCTAAATTCAGCGAAATTCCTAAATCAATCGAGGATCTCGTGGCCTCCCTCGCTGGCAGCGTTGCACCAACACTGCCCAACACAAATACCAATAACAATAGCCCCGGATGCATTACAAAAAAAAAGTGCCGGGGATCCAAGGCAGTCAGTACCGCGACTCATCCGCGTCTTTTCTCTCTTAAAATAGTGAAGGAAAAAAAAGAAACTCACAATTCGTAAGGCACGCGAGGTGTTGGCGAGGAGCGACTGGTGACCGCGACAGCTTCACCAGTCTTTAAATTACTATCTTCGGCCCTCTCGGCTTCCTTCCTTACTCGAGCTGAGGGACGTCGGTCCGCGAGTAAGGACTTTGTCAGCAGCACCTCCACGGCTTCCTCCCGTTTCGAAGTCGCGACGAGCCGTGTTTCAGTGGTAAGAGGAGTGCGAGGAGGAGGAATACGACGGCAGCATAGTGTCGCTCTCGAAGCTTCAATGACAAAGGCTGGGCGAGCTCCTGGTGACGACTCCCCGATAGTGCGCTATGCTACGGGCTCATAAGGCGCTGTCTGGGCCCGAGAATATCATTCGAGACGGGCGTGAGCCGGAGCAGCTGGTAGCCCCGTAGGTTCCCCCGAGAGGCTCCGAGAACTCTAGGGCGGCGAAGAGCCCACGGCCGCTCTCGGGTCGACGCTCGACTGGCGCGCTTCTCCGGGTCCAATGGGAGCCCCTCGTCCGATAACCTCACACTCGACTCTGACCAATGACGGGCCGCTCCTCCTCGACACCTACTCCCGTCACTATTAATTTATATGCCTCACCACCCCGGCCGCCCCGTCCTACTCCTCTGCGCCAGAACGTTGGCCGTCCGATGCTATGTTGATATCGCCGATCCGACGGCACTGCTTCGCCTCCGCGCCTGCGCATACGCACCCTCTCTGCTTAACACGCACACCCCTCCCCCGCCAAATCCGCCGAACAATCCCCCCCCCCCCCCCCCCCCCCGCCCAACCCCCCCCCCCCCCGGCAGTCTCACACTCGCAACACCGCCGTCATCCATCCCCACCTCCATCGCTCCCTACCTCCTCGTCATACGCACAACCACCAACAGCAGTCCAAAATTCCATTGGACTCGCGAAATTCTTTATTCGCCCTTAGCAGCTCGTAGCTCGAAGAAGTCCTTCTCGCTCTCACTCTCTCTCTCTCTCTCTCTTTTGACAAGCGATGTTCTTACATTAGGTGGATCTCGCTCCCTCTAACGCGATAAGCCGCAGTCATATTCGCGAGATATCCGCTGCCGACAGTGCGTCCGTTTGATAAGAATTCCGATAAGGAACGGAGGACGGACCCACTGCTCGTCCCATTAACTGACTGTTGACAATTTGAAACGGCAAGCATTTATCCATAGAGCGATCGAGATTGCCGCCTGTATAATACGTGCCGCCGTCTTTCTATTTTTTTTTTTTTTTTTTTTTTTTTTTTTTTTTTTATAAAGTATCAATAATAATTTATATTTTTATTTTTATTAATTAATATATATTAATTAATTAAATAAAAAAAAACATATAGTCGGGAAGTCGCTAATTACATCGGTGCCTTCTGTACCCCTTTAAGATTTCGCTAATTAAAGCAAGATTTAATGTTTTTTTTTTTTTTTAATACGTTCATTGGGTTAATACTTGAATAGTCCACCCGAGTGATAAAGACAATGTAAGTGACATGAGCTTAATAACCGCAATGCTCCTCACGACATTGTGATTCATTGTAAAGAAAATTATATTTATCGGCTACTATTGCAAATTATTCAATCAATAAGTAATTAAAAAGAAAAAAAAACAAGAAAAGATACCTCTACTTTCCAACTCTGACGCAATAACTATTTTCAATTGGACAACCACAATGACATATTGGCTACGTCATAAGTCACACTGGTTATTTGAATGAAAATGATGGGTTGCATTAAAATATAGATAGATTAACCGAAAGGACGTAGACATTAAATAAATTCAAATTTACAATTATTTCCAACTGGTCTAAATTAACAACACACAAAAGTAAAATAGAATGAGCCATTAGACTAGAGATAATTTATACTCGAACGATAGTTTGCATAGAAATTCCTAAGCTAATTTAATTGCAGCCGATTTCGAAACGACATATACTGTACTCGCATACGCATACGGGTTTCCCAATGAATGAAAACGTATTTTTAGAAAGCTTTAATAATATTTTACTCCTTTCGAACATACGTATCATTTTTATATGTTTCATTGATTGAAGAAATTTTAAATATTATAAGCGTTAATCGTACCACTTTTGTTAACATAAACTTACATTCACATGGAACATTATAATTGATTATAAATTTCATGCTATATTTTATGAAATAAATACAACGAAATTTCTAAATATCACCTAATTAATTGATTAATTAATTAATAAGTTAATTAAAACTTTTCGACAATCAATATAAAGAAAAAAGTATTCGTTTCGATTCGTATTTTGATAATTGTTAAAAAATGGGAAATAGTACAAGACGGCGGGAGTATTAAATTTTTCGTCATTAATTCAGTAGGGAAATATTAAAAAGTTTATAATAAGCAATATTTAACATCGAATGAAACAATTGGCACTTGGTAATGACACAGCACAATTTTCCATCATAGATTGGGTTAAATTAAAAAATATATTTTCTCATGTCCTGTTACGTTACTACATTCGTAGATTTTTATCGTAAAAGTTGGAAAATAGAAAATAATTTTATAATGGTTACATCAAGAATACTAAAATATCGATATGGTATTTATCTATATTTTATAAATATTTTTTTTAATAAAGAGCGATTAAAAAGTTATGGTAATATGAAGTTAATATTAAATTATCATAATTTATACGATAAAAATAATTTATTATTAAAAATTACACATAATAAAATATAATTAATTATATCAATAAATATAGAAAAAAATGTTATTAAGGAGATTTAATGAAACGTGCAATAGTTATAGTTGAATGGAATAATAATTTAATAATATAATCTACTAAATATAGCATACATTGTAATTAGTATTTGTAATATAATTATATATAAAAAATATTAAATTAATTGAATGCTTATCGATTCATTTTATAATTATATTATCCTCGACTTATTAAATGTATTAAATTTATTATAAAAAAAAAAAAACTATAAAATATGAATTTTCTGCATTATTAATTTGCATTACTAATACACATACATTTTTATAATATTTTATAATAAATCATATTATATATATATATATAAATTATGTCTTTTTTTTTTTTTTTTAATTAATTTAATAGTTAATACAAATAAAATTTTATTATTTGTATGTTTCTAATTAAAATATAATTCATAATTTAATAAAAAAAAAAGTATAAAAAAACAGAAATTTTATAATCATTTACTTTCCAAGTGTTATATATTTCAATCAAGTTGTTTTATTATTAAAGTATTTAAAATTGAACAAATACGTTTTTAATTAAAAGATATCTTTGTAAAAGTAAAAAAAAAATAAAATAAAAATTAAGGAGAATAGAAAAGGTAGCCAAATCTATTAAAGTTAAAGTATTTAAGAAGCTGATACATCTTTGTCTCTTCTAACAAGTTCATAGAAATATTAAAAAAAAAAAAAAAAAAAAAAAAAAAAAAAAAAAAAAAAAGAAGCTTTTACCCGAGCAGTCTCTTTCAAACTATTATATTACATTAATATGAAGATATTTATTTTATTGTATTCAGAAAAGAAAAGTAATGACAAATTTACTAATATTATTTTATATAATTATTTTTTAAACTATTTATTTATTTTATAGACTGATACATTCATTTCTAAAAACTTTTAAAGACAACAATTAAGATTTTCTATTTTTTCCAAGTAATTTTTAAATCAAGACAATAAAATAAGGTGAAATAATAAATTAAAATTATCTTGATTTTGCTAAAAATATAATATTAGTTTTAAATTAGTAATAATAGATATATTTTATACAATATATACAAATGAAAAACGTTTCATAATCAATTATTACCTTATTTCGAATAGACAAACAGAGTATATATTTTTCATTAAAAAACAATTATTTGCAAATGGGATTCAAATTTTTAAAAGCATAGCTATTGAAATTGGTTAAAATAAATATACATTGGCATTGTTATTTGTATTTCTTTTTAAAAGCTGTAAATGAATAAGTGGGTTATCGGAACCAATTAACTTCTAAATTACTCTGGAATTTTAAAGGTCGACAATTATTAACAGACAGACCTAACATCTTTACTATTCGCAAATAAGTCTCTTAATAAGATGATTTAACATGCCGTAAAAAATGAATGAATATTCAATTTTAATTTAACTAGTGTTAAAAAAGAAAGCCATGTATATATATATATATATATATATATATATAAATAAATTATTTTTTATACGTATTCTAGTACCAAAAAATTTTATTCTTATGTATAAAATATTGTCTACGTATAATACAAAATATATAAAAAAAAATTTCTAAGTTTCAGCTGTTAGTAGAAATGAATTCTCAAACATTAAAGTAAATCACAATCTCTTTTGAAAAAGCTATGAACTTCGATAAGAACGAATAAATGTAAAAATTAAATAAAAATAAAAAAAAAAACTATTAGAATGACTAGCTTATTTGCATGTAATATGCGAGAATTGCAAATTTCGTACTATTTGCAATATTGATAGCTAAATAACTAGAAGAACCACATTAAAACAATGCGAATTGCAGAAGTATTAATGAAGTCCCATGTTACATTACAAAAATTAAAGACTCATGGAATATTGATAACAAGGTGATTTATAAAGATTAATTTCTTTCCAATATTCACAGTTACTTTTATATTTTTATAAATTGTATAAATATAATCGAAAATTAACATGTGTGTGCGTGCGCGCGCGCGCGTGTAAATTAACGCACAGTGAATATATAAATGTTTTCTTCATAAACATGAAAATTTTTATCCAAAAGCAATCACATGTTCTATAAAAATTCAATAATTAATATTCTTATACTACATATCTTTAAACTTGTATTTCAAAAGTAAATTATAAACTGTATTAATTTACCTCCAAAATTACAATTACAAAAGAATGAGCTTATATACTTAATTTTTATCAATTATATTATATTATACACGATAGTATTGATATTAATTTTGTTTGCGTTAATGTACTCTTAAGAATTCCATTCAATACATAAACAAAACATTTTATTTTAAAATCAAGCGTCAATGCGAACTTGATCTACTTCTAACGCGTAATTAAGAATATATTAATGTTACTTTAATTTCAAGTAGACATACATAATAAATATAAAGGATGTCGATTGCTTAATTTGCATGTTTATTCATGATTTAAGGTTTTTTTTATCTTTATGTTTTTACAGAACCAAAAACAGCAATAAAAAAAAAAATATATATATATATATCATAACTTAAATTCTATTACAAGGAATAATTCATAATTTACATCCTAACGAAGTAAAAGAATAAGAGAAAGGCGGCGGGGGTGGGAGGGAGGGGCACAGGTAAAAGTGATGTACGATTAAGTGAAAGTAAATAAAGCGTAAAAAACTTATATTATCTGCATTTCACTTGTGGTACACAAATCATTCCATTTGCATTTGATTTAAAAAAATTTCTCAGACAAGTTGAGAAATATTTCTTACATTCTGTCATAAATTGCAAG